AGGTATGTCGCGACAGGGGGAGGTGTCGGCAGGAGACCCCGCCGCCCCGCCGGGGTGTGGGGCTGCAGCGACCTGAGGGGGGCTCGGAAATGGCTGTAGGGGACGTTGGCCCAGCGTGTCTGAGGGGTAACATCAACAATACACCTCGTATTAAATATATCTGTATGTTATATGTATTATCACAGAAAACCCCGCTAGCCCGAAGCAGGCAGGTTTCACGGAGCTGCGGGGCAAGGCTTTCTGATGTGGAGCGTAATTAAGGCTCGGAGATAACCCCCCCGAAGGTGGTGGGTTAATCACAGGAGTAATTAAAATTAAACGGGAGTCCCTCAGGAGCGGCGTAGGGGAATATCAAACCCGGGGTATCCAACCCGGGATATCTGACCTGGAATGTCAAACCCGGCAGTGCAGGGTGTGTTGGTGGTGCCACTGCAGGACCTTTTCCCTGGCTTTGGTTGCACAAACTCGGGCTGTCCGGCTCCCCTGAGCTTTGGATCAGTGTCTTCCAGGGACACTGGGGTCTGGGAATTCTGCGTGCTGGTGGGACTGGGAGCAGGGGGGTTGGTTTTGTGGAATTTTATGTGGGATAGGTGGCACGTCCTGTGCTGAACAGCTGTGGGAAGGTTTGCATGTGGGAGACACGACCTGGGACTTTGGGCCCAAAGGGGCTTTGTTGGAAAAGGTCCGTGAGTTTCCACTTTTGTGAAAATCGTATTGGAGGCAAAGCTGTCAAATTTATTCGGGTTTTGACATCCCAGAACGGTTTGGGTTGGAAGGGACTTTAAAGCTCAGCCAGTCTCACCCCCTGCCATGGGCAGGGACACCTTCCACTAGCCCAGGTTGCTCCAAGCCCAGTCCAACCTGGCCTTGGACACTTTGTCCAACCTGGCCTTGGACACTTCCAGGGATCCAGGGGCAGCCACAGCTTCCCTGGGCAAATCAATTAACGTATTTATAGGTAAGATTTTAATTCTTTTAGAAATTTTTAAATCTTGCTTTGCAAGATTTTCATGGGTAAGGTTTTAATTTCTCTTTAAGAAAACACAGACCTTGGCTCAAACCCGGCAGCTGGAGCCGGGCCCGTTCACTTTAAGAGCCGGACCGGACGATTCCGTGTGGGCTCCCTCCCAGGATATTCCATAATCCCGCGGTTCTGTGTGCCCGTAGCACGTCCCGAGATGGCGGATGAGAACGAGGAGCTGCAGGCGGACGAGGAGCTCCCGGCTCCGCCCGAGGACGGCTTCGAGCAGCTGGAGAACGACAGCCCCGCCGAGCGCAGCGGGCATGTGGCCGTCACCGACGGGCGCTGCATGTACGTCTGGGGAGGATACAAGGTACAGCTCCTCCTGGAATAGCCCTCCTGCCATCCCACTGCTCTGGGAGCCACTCTGAGAAGTCATCCCTCCCAGTTGACAGATCGGAACACGGCACTGAGGTGTTTTGCAACGCTTGAAATAAATCACGAGTGTCGAACCTTGGCACGGAGATGACTTTTTTGGGGGGGAGGGGGAGCGGGGTGTCGCTTGGCAGCTCGTGTAGGGAATATTGTCTGATTGGAATTGTGCACCGTGGGAGGGGTGACTGTGTTCCAGCGTTGGCAGCACAGCTGTATTTTGGGTGTGACAGATCCCAGGTTGGTCGGTGCCACGCTGTGGGGGGGAGTGCGTGTGCTGCAGCACAAAATGATTTTGCAGTTCTGACAGCAAGGTGAGTTGTCAGTGAGCTCAGTCAGAAATTGGTGTCGTGCAGGGGGTGGGGGAATTAAGAAGGAAATTTTGGCTCATTTCTGCTCCCTGGCTTGGGCTGTAAAACAGAGGTTTAACTTCCATTTACCCGCCTGGGAGCTCGTGTGGTCTCAGCAGACAATAAATTAGGCTGATTCCTGCTCTCTGTGCGGGTGGGAGGCACAGGAGTGCAACAGGCACTGCTCCTGCTGTGTTCTGTCCTGTGATTAGATCTCTGAGGGGGTGTGAACATTCCCAGGAGTCTGTAATTCCACGTGTCAGACATCCTTCTAACATTGCTTTTTCTCCTCTGTCCTGTCCTGCAGAATGCCCAAGTTCGGGGATTTTATGACTTCTACCTGCCTAGGGATGAGATATGGATCTACAACATGGAAACTGGAAGATGGTACAGTAAATAATTAACTTAATTTGGGAAGAAAATCAGATAAATCCTTAAATTGGTATAGAAGCCATTCTGAGGGGCTGAGCAGGGAAAGAATTCCCTGAACTCTTCGTTCCCACCTATCAGACTGTTGCAAAAATGTGTAGAATATTTCAGATTTGGGTGGGTTTTTTCTGTAAAAACATCAGATATGTTTTCCCAAAGTGAAGTAGGACAGGCAGCTTGGACAGACAGCCTGGACAGGAGTGTGTGATCACCAGTGTGAAGTGTTTGGGGATGCCTGGGATAGGACACAGCACATGGGAATTGTATTTGTACCACTTTTGATGGCAATGGTTCTCAGGGAAACCCTGTTGAATTTTCTCATTTGTTGTTCTCTCAAGGAGTTGTTTTTAAACATTGATGCAGCCAGAGAAACTCCTCAGTGCTTTGCAGAAAGGGGGATTTCAACCGTGCTTCCAGCCCTCCCTGAGGTTAGGGACAGCCTTGAACACGGGCTGGAAGCTCCTCTTTGTGATTGTGATGTTTACAAACAGGAAAAATCCAGTAGCAAAACAGAAACCTGCAGTTTAGACAGGTGCTTCCTCTTTGCCTGAGGATTTGGAACATTCCAAACTCCTGACCTGGGCAGACAGGATTCCCACTCCCCCCCAAAAAAACCCCATGTGTTAATTAAATTACATTTTCCCCACCCCCTCCATCCTCCCAGCTTAATTTTTTAAATGGCTTCACCTGCAAAGGTGTGAAGAATTCATGACTGAGTGTCCCCAGTTGGAACTCAAACCACACTGGCATTGTTATAAAATTCTGCTCCAGATGAAACCATTCATGTCTGTTCTGATCAGGTGAAATATTTCACACCCTCCTTTTAGGAAGAAGAGCAAAACAGAGGGAGATGTTCCCCCCTCCATGTCTGGGAGCTGTGCCGTGTGTGTGGACAGAGTGGTGTATCTCTTTGGAGGGCACCACGCACGGGGCAACACAAACAAGGTCAGCAATCCGTTTATTCCATCATTTCCCAGGAGGATTATGCCCTGGAAGCTTTACAGGAACACCCTGACCTGGCATTTGTTCTGTTCTTGTGCAATTCACCCCATAAACTCACCCCGTGCCTCTGAGTTTGCTGCTTTGGAAAGATGGGAATTGCCAGAGTTGCCTGAAATAATATCAGGAGGGGATCTGGAACTGCTCTGTGGTGGTTTAAATGTTTCTCTTCTCTGGAGTCTCTGATAATCCCAGAATCATTAAGGTTGGAAAAGACCTCCAAGATCCAACCTGTGACCAATTCCCCACCCTGCCAACTACAATTAATTAATAATATTTTCTGATGTTGTGGCAATGTGGTTTAAATTAAATAGTTTAGGCCTGTATAAATATATAGTTTATATATTTAAATATATAGCTTATATATAGACATATATTTAAATATAGACTTATACATTTAAATGTATAACTATAAACTGGAAGGAACTTGATGCAATTTTTGCAGGCAGTTTTAAACAAACTACCTGTATAAAGTGTGACTTCCTTCCTGCTCTGGCATTCTTACATTTCAGTTCTTTTGTACATGTGTAGCAGCTATTTCTCTCCCTGTAAAAGGATGCAACGTGCAGAGAAGGGGCAATACTATAAGAAACCCCACTTTTTTTGAAAAAAAGTGAAAAGATTAAACAAATCTTTTTATTTCTTCCAGTTCTACATGTTGAATTCCAGATCCACGGACAAGGTGCTGCAGTGGGTGCGAGTGGAGTGTGAGGGGGTGCCCCCCTCGTCCAAGGACAAGCTCGGGGTGTGGGTCTACAGGAACAAGTAAGGACCCCACAGGGACTCCCTTTTCATCCCTCCAGGTCATGTCTTTGCTCTGCTTTTTTGTCTGAACAAGAGCTGCTTGTTCAAACTCAAGGAGGGCTTGAGGTTGCCCAGAATAAGGGATGTGTTGGATGAACTGCTGGTGGTGTTTTTACCGAGTTGGGAGCGTGTCCCAGAGATGCCAGAAGGCCTCTTGGCATTGCAAACCTTGGGAAA